TATTTAATAAATAAAAAGATGCTTAATTGAATGAATGAATGAATGAATGAATGAATGAATGAATGAATGAATGAATTTTATTTTTTTGTGTGTTTTTTTTTACTTTTTAAAAATTGTATTTTACTTTATTTTATTTTATTGGTTTTGGAGCGACGATTATCGTTTCTTGCTCAAGGACACGCTAGTGACCACTCACGAATGCTTGACAAGTAATTACATGTACTATTATTAACCTGAATTCACTATCTCACTAATCAGTCGTCCACTGATGACCCCCGCTATGAATGTTGGAACTTGAATTATTTTTTTGTTTTTCACACTTTCAGATGTTCGATTTCGAATCACAGTGCCGTGGTGGAGAGAGAAGGGGGTAGCAAAATGGGGTAAAGGGGGAGGGGGACAAAGGATAGAGAGAAAATGAATATGGATAAAGAGAATTCAGAGTATTATGCGGTGTACACACATACAAGAGAAGAGTCGTTGAGCAATTCCCTATAAGAAAAGGCCAAAGTCGGGTTTAATTGTGGCGAACATATATATGGCCATGCCTGTTGGCATTATTGTGTCGGCGAGCACTCGGGCAGACGCCCGCCGAGCAATGATTTAGGACTGCGGGCATATCGCCGAGCGTCTCGCCGAACGTCTTGCCGAACAACTAGTTTGAATCCTGTCCGCTTGCAGGCCCAAGAAACGTAACGGCCGGGTAAAATTTCACACACTCACAAACTCGCCGACCATGCTGACCATCTTGCCGACCCATCGTGGGTCAGTCGGCGTGCAATGTTATAATATAGAAAGTGGGGGTAACATTTTTGTGCTCATTCCTTCTACATGTCTCATATGACACAGACGATAAATGCATACTATACATATTATTATGGTGCCCTTGCTTTTGTGCTGGGGCAAGAAGAAGAGAAGAGGAGGAGGAGCAGGACCTGTTGGATTAGACCATGGCTCATATTAAGAAGACCCCCTGTATGGACAGTTTGAGAAGCTGATAGCTAGCTGAACTGCAAGTTGAAGTTGTGGCATCCTTCAGGAACTTCCTCAGAGCTTTTCCAGAGGGTTTTTTTAAAGAACGACTGGAGAAAATTGTCCCCACCATCCCCAAGGCAAACACTTTCTGGGGGCAGTCACTGGAACCTGGCATCAAGTCGTGTTGCGGTGCATGCTCGTCGTGTCAACTTTTGCACGCCGGGCTTGAGTAACTCAGACTCCCCGTGCAAGATTTTTACACAGCGAGCAATAATTTAACCTGCAGAGTATGAACTTTAACTCGGCTGCCTTTCAGATCTCGTAGGCGTGTCACTGTCGCTCGGCAACGTATGCAAGTTTGCACGCCGAGCTATTTCTGACACTCCCGGAGTCTCTCTCCCCACCTC